GGCAATAACTCTAATAAGGAGTCGGGTGACGATTTCGACCATGTTAAAACTTATTTGTAGAACTTGTCTTGCTGATCTTTTTTGCAATTTAAAGTTTCTCTCTATCTATTATAGTTTTAAGATAATAGGCAAAAATTTGTAAGGGTTCCTCGGAACCCAGTGTCTCGCCTACTTTTGCTGTTGTCTATGTTTTCAGTGTGATAGGGGAATGCACATAATAGATTTATAGTTAATGAAATAAAACCTTTGAAATGTATGAAAAAGGTTATGCTTGTAAAAAAGTTGCAGGCTCAACAAAAATGGGGAAAAAATTATTAAATATTTTCCTCTAGATACTATGTTTTCATTGTAAGAAGCTTCTGTCCAAGTTTGGTAAAAATTTCCTTCTAGATACTAGCTTTTGATCATATACAAGCTTCTGTCCAAGTTTGGTAGAAATCCAGGATAGTTTAAGAAAGTGATTAAAATTTTAAAACTTTAACCACAGAGTGAATGTAATGTTTTAACTGGCAGAAGTAAAGTCCATTTATAAGTCATGTAAGTAAAATACGGATAAACAGGATTTTTTTTTTTAAATTTACTTCTGGATACTATCTTATGATTATAAACAAGCTTCTGTCCAAGTTTGGTAGAAATCCAAGATATTTTAAGAAAGTTATTAAAATTTTAAAAACTTTAACCACAGGGTGAATGTAATGTTAACTGGCAGAAAAGCTAAGTCCATTTATAAGTAAAATATGGATAAACAGGATTTTTTTTTTTTAAATTTACTTCTGAATACTATCTTATGATCATAAACAAGCTTCTGTCCAAGTATGGTAGAAATCCAGTATAGTTTAAGAAAGTTATTAAAATTTCAAAAACTTTAACCACAGAGTGAATATTTGTGGACGCCGCCGCCGACAATAGAATGTAGGATCGCTATGTCTCACTTTTGCAACAAAAGTAGGAGGCTCAACAAAAAATGGAAAAAAAATGGTAAAATTTGTCATTTAAGGGCAATGACTCCTATAAGAAGTTGATTGACAGTTTTGACATATATGGACAATTGGTAGAGCTCAACATTTTGAACATTTCTGCTACTGTCAGATTTTCTCTATTTATAACGGTTTTCAAAATAATAGACAAAACTTGCATTTTACCCCCTGTGTTCTATTTTTATCCATGTCTGCCATCTTGGTTGGCAGGCGGGGTCATCGGACATATTTTTTAAACTAGATACCCCAATGATGATTGTGGCCAAGTTTGGTTAAATTTTGCCCTGTAGTTTCAGAGGAGAAGATTTTTGTAAAAGTTAATAGACAGAGATGATGGACAACGACGGACAACGAACGCCAAGTGAAGAGAAAAACTCACTTAGTAGGCCCTTTGGGCCAGGTGAGCTAAAAACACTACACAATATTTTTTTCCTTATTTTTTGAAGGGTTGGTTAATGGTTCTCATTTAAAAAATTTAAAAATATCTTTCTACAAATTCTTGAGTGGCAACAAATCAAATTTTTAAGGATTATTACCAAACACTAAAGACTACAAAAATATAACAAATGGATTTTAATTTCCATTTAATCTTTGTTCAGTTTCCTATATAGTTGAGAGGAGGTTATTTTTCAGAAAACAGGGTGGAGCTTCAGCCATGGAATAATACCAAATTGAACATTTACCACAGCTAAGCTCCACCTACTTTCCGCTTATATTCTTGTAGGGTTTCATGCTTAGTTATCAAAGTATGGTACAACATTAAACTGCAGATAGTAGACCATGTTTTTCCCCCAACACACGTTTTAAGCAAATTATTTCATTAAAACATCATAAAGTAAAAAACTCTTAACACAGAGATATGTCTTGCCTTTTTGTTATTTTGATAGTAAAATGCAAAAGTTAATAATTAAAAAAGCAAGACTTTAACATGTAAGTTATGCAAAATATTCAAAAACAATGAACCATGATCATGACTGAAGGTACAGGACCAAACAATCTGCATGGAAATGAGATGTGCCAATGTAAATACAACTGCATACATGTACCAAATACCATTGACCTACCACTAGAAGTTCCCCATAAACAGATCTAATCACAAACTAATACATGTAAACTAACCAAATGTTTCACAGTCAATAGACAATGACTGAGGGGGAGGGGCCAAATAATCTCCATGGCAATGAGATGTGCCAATGCTAATACAACTACATACCTAATATTATTGACCTATATACCACTAGTGGTTCTCATTAAACTGACCTAATCACAAACTAATACATTGTTGTTGACGACGCCCATGACACTGGAAACAGCATACCTATGTCTCGCTTTTTGACTCCATCAAGGCGAGACAAACATGATATCTTTATTACAAGCTTAGCTATCATATTTAGATTCATCCAAATTGTACAAAACATGACATTTACATGTACCTTCACCTGGTACTCAAGATAAAGAGCTAAAAGTGATTTTAAAATCCTTAGTAAAGTAAAATCTGCAATATAAAACTAACAGAGGGCTTTATTTTTCTAATATTAGTCATATGTCTTGATGACAAAATTTGACTTTAACGTTATAAAACAGACGTCAAAAGGGAGATTTTTCTGTGTTTTATCAAAAAGAGGCTAACTTCCAAAAGGTTTTGGCTAAATTAACATATGTGACATCCAAATCACTCCCAAGTTGTACATATGTATCTGCAACTGTTCAAATCTATCTGCTTTTTTTAAATTCAACAGTTATGGTGTATTTGAAATATGAGATAATTCTGTTAATGTACTTTTTTTTTTTCCCTAATAAATTATTATAAGTGCATTCTTCAGAATTTTAATTGTCAAACATTGTTAAAATTGAGCAATTATTACCTCCATAATAAATTTACGGTAATAAAAGAACAGTATTCCAATGTCCTATGCCGATGGCTCGTTGCACATATTGTATCTGTCCAAATGCAATATTTTCCCAAAAATTTTTGTTTGGTTCTTTAAACTTTCATAGATAATCTACAAGAAATGTAGACATGAGATTGTTAACAATGTTATTTTCCATATATTTCTATTTCAAAGGGACAAAGCTTATGTAATCAAGAAGATTGAAATCACTGATGAAAAGATTGGAATAGTAGTTGAAGGAATTGAAATCATATTTACACGGTAGGTATGTTATGAACAAAAAACCTTGATGTAGCAGTATTGCAGATAGTACAATTTACTGTAGTTTTTTAGGAAGAAAAGCATTTTTTAGTGGATAAATTGGGTGGTTTTAGTCAGTGACAGTTGGTCCCTTAATTTGCACAACATCATTGTTTAAATTAAATTGCAATTTCATATGTTGGTCAAATAATATTCCCTGTTTTTCATCTTTAGAAACTGAAGAAATTACCAATCAAAGATTCTTCTAAATCAAATAAAGTTTATCAATTATCCTTGTAGAACATGCAACCTAAATAGATAGACTTGGAACTAGGATTTACGTCTCCCAAAATTAACCTGGCAAGGGTGCTTTTAGGGCATATTTTAAGTTGAAATATTATTGGAGGAAATAAAGATATATAATGTATGTTGCTTTTTCTTCAAATAACTGTGTTGTTTCCAAAGAATGAAGCCTAAGTATAGCCAGTTAATATTCTCACTCATTAGTAACTGAGCAATAGACTAGAGCTGATATTTCTTTAAAATTACTATTCCAAAACTCCAAGATTTTAAAATAGATTGTTGTTGCTCAATATTTAATTTTAGATTGACAGACAATGTCATGAATGTACATTTGAAGTTCAAAAAAATTAATACCAAAAATAGATATGTGTAAGGTTATCTGAATCAGCAATGCATGTATAACTAATTTTGTTCAGTTGATGTAACTAATAGTAGACTTTGAGAAGATTAATCTTTTTATGACACTTAAGTATTCCAATAGTTCAGGAACTATATTAAGAAATATGTTTTGAATGCCCTTTCCTTTACTATTCTTCAGAGAGTGTGCAATAAATTTACAGTACCAATTGTTTATTTCTATTAGATGAAAAATTTAGTTGAGAAATTTAAGTGATAAACTGATTCAAACAAATTTACCATATTTTTCACTATTACAGATAATATTATTAATTCGTATATTTTAAATGTTTTGATTCGTTCAGGGATAGTCACATGTTAAACTATATTTTCGAAGGTAGATAGAAAACGGCGGATAGCAAAAAGCATATTGCATAGCAAAAAGCATATTGCATAGCAAAAAGCATATTGCACGGTTATTTTTAGAATATTTAAAAACCGATATACTTTGTAACTTCATGTATTGAATTTCATGATATTTTTTAAAGTTTTATAAAAAAATATCTATTATCGATCATTTGAAGAAGAAAAAAATCTTCAAATACATAAGATGTGAAAAAAAAACAAACATAAAAGATAGATGAAATAACAACAGTTACTAATATGTTGTTATCATAGGGGCATATTTTTTTTTAAATGCACGTAGACGATTAACGGGCTATATATCTGATCTGTAGTCAAGTCCCTATGGGTGTTTGATAGTAGGGGCATATATTGTTTTTAAAATGTACGTAGACGATTAACGGGCTATATATCTGACCTGTAGTCAAGTCCCTATGGTTGTTATTGTCTAGGAGACAATATGATATCTATAAATTTCGAACAAAATTAAATGACGATTTTGGTACAAATATGGTCGGAAATTAATAACAATTATAATTGTTATTAATATAACAATTATAGCCTATGTATGAGGTCAATACAGGATATATCGACTTAAAGAAGTATATTGACCTCGGACTTCGTCCTCAGTCAATATACTTCTTTCAGGTCAATATATCCTTGTATCGACCTCATACAAAGGCTATAATTGTATAATATTAATATTAAAAGAGATTTTCACACAAGTTTGTATTCTTTATAATTGCTAACATATACCAGTATAATATTCAGGTGTATCAAATTTTAAAGAATAAAATTGTGTTCATGTTCATACAGCACAGCAGTTTTAATTCAATAGTAATTAACTTACCAAACTCTGTATTTAGTTTAAAGTTGTGAATCTGTAATGATGATGATCACCGACTTTCACAAGATGATCAAAATTAATCCACTCAAAATATAATCCTCAAATAACATGCATTCACCAAAACTTACAGTTTGAATACTAAAATATTTCAGTTCTTCCAAATTAAAATGACTTCTTCATCTTTAATACACAAACCAGGAAGTTACCTGATCTAAAAATAGAAATACTTATATAATTTACTGTCCCATAAACTTAAATCACCTATGTCCTTCAAACTTAGTTACCTCATTACATGTAATTCAATATGAACACTGATGTTTACCATTTTACATACCACTATAAAAGTAGGTTTGGTCAAAATTTAAAATAAGAACACAGGTTTTGTCAGTAATATGTAATTGTAAAACGAATGTATTTACTAAACATGTTTGTAAACAAGTCATATCATCTAGTTAAATTTCACACACAATGTTACATTTAAACTTGAATGTATAGGTATCATTTTTTATCAGTTGATGGATCTTGTTACATTTTTGTCCCTTTACTTGGAAGTATATCATTGTGTAGGGTGATGACTTAGTTCACATGGGATTACTCTGTGTTCTAATTTTAAATGTCAAATTAATTAAATGTTATATATAGTTTTTATATTTTTTCAGACAAAAACAATTTCTTCCTGTAATTAAAGCTACTGACTTTTTTATTTATATAAAAACACTTCAAAAACAAAATTTCTTTTTCACATCTTGTAATCAATCAGACTAACAAAAAGATTTTTATTTCAATAATTTATGCCACAATTACAATATATTATAAAAAGCCATGAAATGAATCCTTAAAATTTACCCATTGACCCCAAAAATAAAAAGTAAAATCACAAAAATACTGAACTCCGAGGAAAATTCAAAAAGGAAAGTCCCCAATCAAATGGCAAAATCAAAAAAACAAACACATCAAACGAATGGATAAAAACTTTCATATTCCTGACTTGGTACAGGCATTTTCTTATGTAGAAAATGGTGGATTGAACCTGGTTTTATAGCTAGCTAAACCTCTCACTTGTATGACAGTCGCATCAAATTCCATTATATTGACAACAATGCGTGAACAAAACAAACAGACACAATAGGTAAAAATGTCAAAAATAGGGGTACAGCAGTCAACATTGTGTTATCATCTTAATCACTATAAAAACAAGCAAATGTAAGGAAGAAGCACAAAAAGGCATACATCAAATTTAAAATCCTCGTTTTGCTTATATTATACGATTTTATTTATCTATGTAAAATCCACCCATAAAGGATGGAAGTTTTTAAGTACTGGCGTAAAATCGCGCGTTTGAAATTCGCACAGGTAGACATAAAATAATTTTGTCGTTCAAAGTATGAGGGAATACATAAATACAGAGTCACGTAAAATGGATATAACAAAAAACAGACTTAACATTAAAAGTAATATTAATAAATAAAATAAAATAATTGTGTGGTACAAAGTATGACGATATACATAAGTACAGAGTCACGTCAAATGTATATCACAAAAAACAGACTCAACAGTAAAAGTAATATTAATGAATAAAATAATTTTGTCGTTCAAAGTATGACGGGATACATAAGCACAGAGTCACGTCAAATGGATATCTCAAAAAAACTGACTTAACAGTAAAAGTAATATTAATAAAGATAAATAAAAGAATACTATAACACGTTATTAAGATGATAAACAACGTCAGTACGCAAAATAAACAGGCATCTGCCCCTTCTTAATATCTTTCATCTATATAAGTTTCATTCCAATTTTAAAAGCAAGGTAATCTCAGGCTACCATCTGGAAACAATTTTTCCATAATTTTATTTATGGTAACAGTGACCTTGAACTTTGACCTTTTGACCCCAAAATCAATAATTTTCTCTTCCAATATTTCCATCAACACAAGTTTTATTCCAATCAGGTAAAGGAAACTAGAGTTCCGATCAGGAAACCAAGTTTTCATAATAATTGTATTATTAAAGTCAGTGACTTTGAACTTTGGCCTATTGAAGACAGTATCAGCAGGCTTCCTTTCCTTCCCCATATCTTTCATTTGTATAAGTTTCATTTTAATCAAGCAATGTAATATCAAATTACCATACAGAAACCACTTGTTTCGGATATAACACAGCAAGACAGAGGGACAGACCGAAGAACAGACAGATGGAGGGAAAGACAAAGCAATGACTCTATGCTCCCACCTTTTTTGGGGGGAGCATAAAAATCACTATAATAGTTATTTTTCACTTTGCACTTTTCAGGTGCACATCCAGCCATTTTGAAAAGGGGGTTCTAACAACAACCCCTGGAACACCATAAAATGTTCACATAATTGAAAATAAAAAAAAAAACTTATTAAAAAATCAGAGGGTTCAAACCAATGGGATCCCCCCCTCCCCCTGGATCCACTAATGCTTCTAAAATTGATGACTTGACTGTGGGTCTTCTACAGCAGTTTGGTAAAAACTATGACAGGTGAGGATGAACTGTTTGAATTGGTGAAGCAAATAGCAAAGGTGGTCAAATTTGATTGATCTGCAATCACTAACAATGATCATTAAGTCACTATGACACTTATTTGTGTAGGGTCATGAATGAAACAACAATTAATACTGTTCAAAAATTAAATGAAATCTGATTGCATGTGAATGTTTCAATTTTTGTTTTAAAGGTTGATCAAGAAAACAATAATAATTTAGTCAACATTTAAATATTTCATACCAATTTTGATATTTGATGCCAAAATTAGGGTGAGTCAACTTCACAATGGATATTGCAGTTCCTACTGCATGAAAAATCATGCAGAAACTTGACAAAAGTGATACTGATTCATGACATGCAATACTGAAATTGAATACAATACTTTTCTACTTTTTTACCTAATTGCTAACATTAGAAAAACATTAATAAAAATTTTTTAAAAAAAAATTGACTCTAAAGTTAATTAAGTTATAAATGACTACTGGAAAGATGTGTTTTATTTTATGCAAAAGCTTATGAGACATATATATATGTTAACATACTTATGTGACAATTTTGAAAATTTGTTTTATCATACCATAAAATCATATCACATCTCCTTATTTTTATATTTATTGTATATTTACCAATATGCATTAAAGGTTTTTACTGTATAAAAGTTCTTTGTCGTAAAATCACGATCTATATAAACACAAAATATTTTTTCTAATTTTAACACCGATGTGCAATTTTGTATCTTAAAATCTTTATAAGACAATAAAACATTCTATTTGTAACATTTCTCATAAAAAGACCAGGATGTTGTTATTATACAATCATCTTTATATGGACAACACCTCTACTTGTGACAACAGGAACAATTCATTAACATACGATGTAAACAAAAGTTCTAAGAAATCAGTAAGGGGAATTTTATAACCTTTACCTTCTCCTACATGTTTATTACTGGCATTACATTTTTGTCTTTTATTATATATAATTATGTCATTTTCCATCTTATCTGTTTTAATCTTTCAATAATGTCTTTCTTCACTAGTTTTTTTTGGCCCATGTGTACATATAAATGTACATCTCAGGGAGGATTTTGCCTTTATCAACAACAGTTCTCAAAAACTGGAGGTCATGTCAGTCCTGAATGCCAAAATTACAATGTATATCAGTATTTGATATATACAACCATATGAATCATTGTGCAAATTGGCCTAATCCTAATCTTATTTATACCTACATGTAGGAATAATTGATATCAAAAATTTTATCCAAATACAAGTTTTCACTGAGACCACCAGATTTGTAGTCTTGGTGGTCATAATTAATTATCACCAGGCTAAATCAGATTACCAGAACTCTGTATCAATGGAAAAAAATTACAAAATCTTACATATAAACTTGCTGTTATACATCTTGAACACAAATGCATCACAATCCCTCCAGAGCCTCAGGTGTCATTTTCCATCTGACTCAAAGTTCAACAAGTTATTTTTTTCAGCACTCAGGTCATTGAACATGTTCTAGTCAGTCAAAGGGACAGGGCATGTTAACTACGAATTAGACAAAAATTAAAATATGATTTTTTTTTTCCAAACATTTATAAAAGTGGACTATAGAAATAAGATTTCACTATTAGCAGTCAGTTTGGTTCAATTTTGTCAAAATAAGCTAAAAAAACATCTCTGATGTATTATTGGCTTGCAAGTCAATAATTCAACTCATTTGAATCCGTATTCATGCAACCTTTCAATTTGACCCTTAGTGGAGATGAGTGGCGAATGTGTTCATTATGTAGTGAACATGAATTTGAAAGCTAATGCCCCAATTTAAACAACTGATATAATCCAAAGCTTTAATCTGATATATCAATTCTAATTAGGGGCTTAGGATCCAAGAAGGGATACAGATGTGTTTTTTAGCGTGCAGATCTGATCAAGTAAACCTTTCAAACCATTAAGATGAAGCAATTTTTAAAATAGTAATACAGGTGCCAAAGTACTACTGTGATTTAAATTCTGGGAAAACTTCATAAAGTTTTGTCATGAGACTATTAGGAGCAGTTGGGTACATATACGCAATTCATTTCAGGTAGGCAGTAATGGTAGCCTTTTCCTCAATTCCTCTGCTTATATCATAAACTTGGATATGCATGATGACTCATTTCGAAGCTGAGACATTTTCACATATATATGTGGCTAAATTTTCCGGGTACAAAGGTACATTTGTTTTTCCATAATTTAGCACACCCCAAAAAGCCTTTTGTGATGGGGCTTCTCGAGGTAAAAAATCCCTCTTTTCACACAATAAGTTCTTTGAAAATTTAGTTCTTTGCATATATTTAATAACTCCATAGTTTTAACACCTTTATTCTATGGTCCTCTTCTCTCCAAATCAGCACAAATGGTTAAGCTCAGTAATTGCTTAAATTTGAAACATGTCCATATCACTACACAGAGATTTTTTGTTTACACAATGCTTTTGTGTTCCTCAATTTGAAGTGCATTTTGGATATTGACCCAGTTTCTGATATAAAATGGGTAACCCTGATAAAGCATATTAGATGCATTAAATGAAAATTTAAAATCCTCTAAAGCAAGAAAATAATTTGAAGAAATGGATGGTTTCATTTTCTGCTTCAGATCACAGTTATAATCAACATGCAATCTAGAATGGAGACAACGGTATGCTTAAAATGAATAAAAGTGTGGA